GCTGTTCCCCCTCCTGGGGCGAACATCGTCAGTGGCATGTGGATTTTCAGGGTGAAGCGGCCGCCGGGTTCTCCGCCTGTCTTCAAGGCGCGTTACGTGGCTCGTGGCTTCAGTCAGCGGCAGGGGGTTGACTACTTTCAGACCTTCTCCCCCACCCCGAAGATGACCACTCTTCGGGTTCTGCTGCACGTTGCTGCTCACCGTGACTACGAGCTCCACTCTCTCGACTTCAGCACAGCTTTCTTGCAGGGCAGCCTGCACGAGGAGATCTGGCTGCGTCGCCCACCTGGCTTCACTGGGTCTTTCCCTCCTGGTACCCAGTGGAGTCTCCGGCGTCCAGTCTACGGTCTCCGCCAGGCGCCACGTGAGTGGCACGACACACTGAGGACTACGCTCGCGGCACTTGGGTTTGCTCCTTCCACTGCCAACCCGTCGCTGTTTCTGCGCACCGACACCTCTCTGCCGCCGTTCTACATCCTCGTGTACGTCGACGACTTGGTCTTTGCCACAGCTGACACTGCTGGACTCGCCTACGTGAAGTCCGAGCTGCAGAAGAGACACACGTGCACTGACCTGGGTGAACTGCGCAGCTACCTTGGCTTGCAGATCACCCGGGACAGAGCACGCCGCACCATTACCCTGACTCAGTCACACATGGTGCAGCAGGTCCTTCAGCGCTTCGGCTTCACGTACTCCTCGCCTCAGGCCACTCCTCTGCCTACTCGCCACTCGCTCTCAGCTCTGCCTTCGGATGAGTCCGTAGAGTCGAGTGGCCCGTTTGCAGAGCTTGTTGGCTGCCTCATGTACCTGATGACCTGCACACGACCTGACCTCGCATACCCTCTTAGCATTCTTGCACGCTTTGTTGCTCCTGGGAGACACTGACCAGAGCACATGGCTGCTGCGAAGAGGGTGTTGCGCTACTTGTGCAGTACGTCGGGCATGGGGCTAGTGCTTGGAGGGCGCAGTCCAGTGGTCCTCACTGGGCACGCAGACGCTTCTTGGGCTGACGACCAGGCTACGCAGCGGTCGTCACAGGGTTACACCTTCAGCCTTGGTTCCGGCTCTGTCTCGTGGCGGGCTACCCGCTCGTCTTCTGTTCTCGGCTCCAGTTGTGAGGCTGAGATCTACGCTGGGGCTATGGCTGCACAGGAGTTACGCTGGCTCACCTACCTGCTGACCGACCTTGGAGAGCAGCCTCGTTCTCCTCCAGTCCTGTACGTAGACAACAAGGCCATGCTGGCCTTGTGTCGAGAGCAGCGACTGGAGCACAGAACGAAGCACATTTCTCTCCGCTACTTTCTTGCTCGTGAGCTACAGCAGCGTGGACAGTTGAGACTTGCGTACGTGGCCTCTGAGGCCAACACTGCTGATGTCTTCACCAAGGCACTTGCGCCTTGTGATCATCAGCGTTGTTGCACGCAGTTGGGTCTTGTGCCTGTCTTGCCTCACTTGCTCTCCTCTTGACCTTGCTTGTACCTTCGCCTATATATACTCTTGCTCTTGCATGCTTGACTCTTGTATATCTCTATATATGATCTTGCATGTGAACTGGCCTTCTGGCCTTTGAACTTGTGCTCGGAATGCGTGGTGACTTTGTGATCCACCCTGAGCTTTGCTTTGCTTTGCTTGACTGGTCTTGTGACCCCTTGTTCTCCCCCACTTTGCCTATGGGGGTGTGTCAGAACATATAGCTTACTTGTTTCTGTAGGCTATAGTGGGGTATCCCATAGGGGGTACAACACAATTAGGGTTTCCTATTTGTATTCACTTCACTTCATAGTCATTCATTCTCGTTCTTTGATTTCACACTGTGCAGCTGTTCTTTTCAGCCGCTCTTTTAGGTTAGTGTAGATTATGATAAAGTACTACTTCAATGGGCAACCTAAAGTTTGTTAATATGGATGTCGTGATACTTGGAATGCCCCATATCGGAACACCAAGGAGTGCCTTCGGCTGTGTTGAGTTCGTGACGTGGTGCGGAACGGGTCCAGACCCGGTGCACCGAGGCGTCCCGGGTGTGCCAGGGCGTCCTAGCTCGCCCCGTGGCACGCGTCTCTGCGAGAGTTTTGCTCAATCCCGTGGAGTCACGGTTTGTTTTATTATTGCCGCGTGGCATGCATTCGATCGCGTGAACCGCGATCTGTTTTATTGTTATCACAAACCAAGTTTACCGAAGAGGGTTTACAAAAAGTTGTAGTTTCTAGTCTATAATTTGCTTGAATTTTGTGATAACAATGAAACAGATCGCGGTTCACACGATCAAAGGCTCGCCACGTGGCAAAAATAAGCTAAACTGCACTTCCGTGGAATTGAGCAAAATTCTCCGTCTCTGCACACGGTGAATTCAAACCTTCAACCAGCAATTGGCGAAGACGAAAGACTCAGTTTCGAAACTCGCGCTCGGATGTTTACACGCTTGACTTTCGCCAAACAGCTCACAAAAACAAAACATGCGATTGATCTCGGGTAAGTAGCTTTGGCAGGGGTACTACTAGGGACCCCGCGCTTTGAAGGGGACTATAGTGCTAGCAGAGGGCACTTTCCACCCCTCCGTGCCTCAGACAGTAAAATTATAGAAACAGGAGAGTACTCTTTGTGAAAGTTTGAAGAGAGAAGAGGGGTGGCACTAGCAAGAATGGGGATACAAATAGCAAACCCTAGAAGGGTTGCACTCGCTATAGAGCACCCCACTACAGGCTAGAGCATAAGATAACATTCTGACACACCCCCATAGCCAAAGTGGGGTGTAATCAGCAGAGCAAGCAAAGCAGTACAAGCTCAGGGTGGATCACAATGTCACCACACATTCTGAGCACAAGTTCAAGAAGCAATAGTTTAAAGGGTACAATTATGAGCAAAGCTAGTGGTAGTCACAACGGGCAAGCGAGGAGGAGGAGAGAGAGTGAGAGGAGAGGAGATAGGAGGCGACGGCTGAAGCTGCAGACACACGGGCAACAGGAGGCAGACTGGCACAGCGGCTACCGGACGAAGTCCCCGGAATACAGGAGTAACAGGCCCCGCGGCTAAAGTAGCGGCAGACGAGCAACAGACCCACGGGCGGCTGGCACAGCTGGCTACGACTGGGCTACCGGACGAAGTCCCCGGAATACAGGTGCTGCTTGCGACACGACGGCAACCTCCATACAGCTTCCCCAAACTATCCCACTCCCCTTGGCACACACCCGCTGCTACACCGCTAGCTCCACTCCCACGCACCCCCCTTAAACCCTAACCCCAGTCTCCCACACATCCACCCCCCTCAGCGACAGCTGCAGCAGTAGGAGACAAAGGAGGAGGAGGAGCAAAGGGAGGAATGCAAAAGTGCCACCCCCATACTCGCCACCCCCTACTCGCCACTCCCCAAACCCTAACACAGGCAGGGCGGGATGGCAGGTAGGGAGGTTACGGGGGAGGGGGGGGGGGGGGGGGGGGGGGGAACCAACGCGCGGCCTCCTTGGGCGCCAAGACAGGCAGCAGAAGGGGCGGCGCTCGCCCCCCTCTCCCGGCGGCCCCCGAGGGAGCCGCGACGGGCGACGGGAAAAGGGGCCGCAGGCGGGGCCGGGGCCGGGGCGTAGGTAGGGCGATGGGGCCGGGGCGCAGGTAGGGCGTCGGGGCCGGGGCCGCAGGCGGGGCCGAGGCGCGTGCCCTCGGTGCGCCGCGACGGGTCCCCGTCGCCCGTCGCGGCGCCTCCAGAGGGCGACGCGGCGAACGACGGGGCAGAAGCCCGCCGCGCGCCTCGGGGCGCACAGCGGGCAGAGAACCGCCGCGCGCCTCGGGGCGCACGGCGGGCAGAAAAACCGCCGCGCGCCTTGGGGCGCACGGCGGGCAGAAAACCGCCGCGCGCCTTGGGGCGCACGTCGGGCAGAATACCGCCGTGTGCCTCGGGGCGCACGGCGGGAAGAAAAAGTGCCGCACGCCATACGGAGGAGATCAACATTTACCAAGGGAAAATCTATTCATCCGTTAGCGTTGCTAGAGTCGAGATAGAGAAATATGGTGATAAGTTCAACTTCAAGCCGTGGTATAAGGACAACAGGCCAGAACGCCTTGACGCGCGTTGCCCTTCTATGAAAGGAAAAGACTGGCCCAAGAATGAGGCCAAAGCACCAGAGGGGTTTCGTCCGTTTCGGATTGTAGCTACCGGGCCTCGAAATTGCAGCTTTAGTGTGAGATCTGTGGCGCTGCAGCATGCACACACGTGTGTGCCACGCCCTGGTCATACTAGGAGGGAACAGGTTAATCAAGTGGAGCGTGAAGTACATCCTCATACAGTCATTACTCCTAGTGGACTACGACACATGATGCGGGAAAAGTTAGGCGTCGACTGCTGCAATGCTACGTGTGGCCGGTCAATAGATGATGTCACTCGAGAGGATCCTCTAGGTGGAGAGTCAGGTTTCCAGTACATTGGTAGCATCCTATATGTTTTCAAGCGACATAACCCATCAAGCGTTGTGTCACTGATGCTGAATGAGAATAGGCTCCATCGTGCTACAGTGATTTACCCTGGAGTCCGTGAGATAGTTAAAAATTGCTTTCCGATCGTATTTGTAGATGGATGTCACAACAAAGGTAAATGGCGAGGCCATACTTTGAATGCATGCATGAATGACTGCGAACATAAGTTGGTGAGGTTAGGGAGTGCGTGGGTAGAAGGAGAGAGTGCGGATTCGTGTGAGTATTTTCTGAGCCAGCTGAAGGTAGCTGTCCCTGAGATCAACACTCCGAGGTTTACATTGATGCATGATTGTGGGAATGCATGGAAAGCGGCTGCTGCCAGAGTGCTGCCAGGGGCGCGTGAGGCATTTTGTATCACACACTTGGTGAGGAATTTTAATTCTAAGTTTGGTTCTGACTGTGATGACAAGATCGAGCTCGCGGTTGCAGCATTGACCAGAGATGTGCTGCGGGGCTACATGGACAAAATCGAGGAAGAGTGCCCAGGGGGGAAGCAATACTTGGAGAGGGATGGATTAGCCGCACATTGGGCTACCTTTATGTTTAATGCGTCACGTTATGGGTGCTATACTTCAAACCCGGTGGAGTCGCATCATGCATCTATGCACAAGTGGAGGAGGGACAATCCAGCACAAGTTTTGCTTGCATTCATCACACAGCAAGCGAATGCAATGCAAGAGGGTCGTGAGCTGTATGGGAATCTCGGGGTAGCTGATCTCCCCCCCAAAACAGCAGGTATCATTCGTGATAATTGTCAAATGGGAACTCAGTACAAAGTGGAGAAGACTGGCAGAAGTTCATACCATGTGAGCCGTGACACTGGAGCCAAGGAGGAGCGTGTGGTGGTGTTGGAGGCTGCGAAGCCAGAGATGGCGCAGTGCACGTGTAATTATTTGAGGTGAGTTTTGTGTTTAGGCTAATCCTTGAAATACCTGTGGGAAACATTTTGCACCTGGTGTTAGGATTGTCGGTACATGCATAACCTTTATCTTCCTTCGGGCTTTCTCCTGATGTTTGTCCTTTGATGGAACTTGACATCTGTTTGACACCCATTTGATTTCCCCGTACAATTGCAGAGAGTATGGGCTGCCATGTATGCACATGTTTGCGGTACTGGTCCACAACATCAGGCCGGCACGTGGCAACGAGTTTGCGGACGTCCAACATGTGGTTCAAGCCATGATCCACAGGTGTTACACTTCGGACGCATTGAAGGAGCTCTACAGCAAGCAGATTCGCACTCTTGACCGCAATGAGGTCGTTCCAGATACAACAATAGAGGCACCAATATACCCAAAGAAATCGGGGAGGCCACGCAACACTCGGTTGAGGTCCCATGGTGAGATTGATGGGAGGAAGTTGCGTAGATGTGGGAAGTGTGGGGAGAAAGGGCACAATAGAAAGACTTGTGATTTGCGCAAACAATTGAGAGACGCGTGGGAGGCACTTCACACTCCGGAAGGGCACATGAGTGTGCAAACAGCTACGCAAGCAGAGGCTCGAGTGAATGTGGCGATGTGTGGTGCATGCAATATAAGGCACCACAGGGATGTACTCTGTGAGCCTAGGAGGCAACCTCGTGGACATGAACAACCACAGAATGGGGTGGGGGTGGCGGACGGTAGCGCGACTCACGCAGCAGGTGGTGAGAATGAAGGTGTTGAGGTATCGGACGAGGAGGAGGACGTCAGTTCAGATTCGGAGGGGGAAAGAGAAGAGCAGCCGATGGATGCAGGTGCTGGTGTCCAACAGGCAGTCCCAACAGTACTCTGTGAAGTATTTGGCGAGGCATTTAACAGACTCAGCACCTCAGGAACCAACGGAAACATGCGCTCGGGGGGTGTGGGGTTATCAAATCCAACAGCAGCTGAGAGTGGGGGATTGGGGGAGAGGGGAGGTGTATCCGAGAGTGGTGGATTGGGGGAGCGGGGAGGAGCGTCCGAGAGCAAAGCAGGAAGGGGAGGAGCAGGAGGGGGTGGGGCATGGAGGAGAGGAGCAGCAGAGAGTGGGGCGGGGACGGCAGGAGCAGAGAGTGGGGCGGGAAGGGCAGGAGCAGCTGGGATCGTGACAGGGAGGGGAGGAGCAGGGAGTGGGACGTGGAGGGGAGGAGCAACAGGGAGCGGGGCAGGGAGGCCAGGAGCAGAGAGCGGGGCGGGAAGGGCAGGAGCAGCCGAGATCGTGACAGGGAGGGGAGGAGCAGGGAGTGGGGCGGGGAGGGGAGGAGCAGGGAGTGGGGCGGGGAGGGGAGGAGCAGGGAGTGGGGCGGGGAGGGGAGGAGCAGGGAGCGGGGCCGGGAGGGGAGGAGCAGGGAGCGGGGCCGGGAGGGGAGGAGCAGGGAGCAGTGGGGCAGTGAGGGGGGGAGCAACAGGGAGCGGGGCAGGAAGGGGAGGAGCATCCGAGAGCGGGGCAGGGAGGGGAGGAGAATTCGAGAGCGGGGCAGGGAGGGGAGGAGCATCCGAGAGCGGGGCAGGGAGGGGAGGAGCATCCGAGAGCGGGACAAGGAGGGGAGGAGCAGCAGGGAGCGGGGCAGGGAGGGGAGAAGCAGCAGGGAGCGGGGTAGGGAGGGGAGGTGCAACAAGGAGCGGGGCAGGGAGGGGAGGTGCAGCAGCGAGCGGGGGGGGGAAGGGGAGGAGTAGCAGGGAGTGGGGGGGAGAGGGGAGGAGCAGTGAGCGGGGCCGGGATGGGAGGAGCAGCAGGGAGTGGGGCGGTGAGGGGAGGAGCAGCTGAGAGCGGGGTAGGGAGGGGAGGAGCAGGGAGCGGGGCGGGAAGGGGAGGAGCAGCAGGGAGCGGTGGAGTGGCGGGTGAGATGGGATTTGACCACAACAATCCCACACCTGGTGATGCCTCGCAAAACAATGGTGACAATGTGGTTCGTTTTAGACTGAGGCAGATGCAACACGTTCGTCAGCAAAGACAAGTGGCTCCCGAACCAAGAAATAGGGATCAGAGGCCAGCGGCTGTGGTGGAGGAAGGAACAGGGGCGGACTCAGAGGCAACGGGCCATACAAACCATACCCCAGTACCTGATACACAAGAATCAACCGTTGTGGATAACCTTGAGGACCACAGCGGGGAAATGCGGGATGAACAACAGCGTGTGAAGTTGGGGCAGAAGCGACGCCGCCAGTTGAGAAGGTTGCAGATGCAGCAACGACATCAGAGACGGAAACAGCTGCAGGGTGTGACTCAGCAGGGACAGCAGCAGCAGCAGCAGCAGCAGCAGCAGCAGCCGGGACAGCAGCAGCAGCAACCGGGACAGCAGGAGCGGCAGGGACAGCAGCAGCAGCAGGGACAGCAGGAGCGGCAGGGACAGCAGGAGCAGCAGGGACAGCAGGAGTGGCAGGGACAGCAGCATAGGCATCAGCAACAGGGACAGCAGGAGCGGCAGGGACAGCAGGAGCAGCATCAGCAGCAGGGACAGCAGAAGCGGCAGGGACAGCAGCAGCGGCAGGGACAGCAGCAGCAGCAGGGACAGCAGCAGCAGCAGGGACAGCAGCAGCAGCAGGGACAGCAGGAGTGCCAGGGACAGCAGCAGCAGCAGCAGCAGGGGCAGCAAATGATGCTGCTCCTGCAGCAATTGCTGCAGAATGCGCAGCAGGGAGGGCAGCAGCAGCAGGGAGAGCTACATGAGATTGGCCAGCCACAACAGCAGCATGGTGTTGGGCTACTTCTGGAGCAACTGCTGCAGGTATTGCGACAACAAACCCAAGACCAAAACCACCATCAGTGGCCTTAATCTCAGCAGCAGCAATGACAGGAGCATCTGTAACAAAGTAAAAACAACAGAACGATTGCAGCAGCAATGACAGGAGCAGCAGAAGACAGTGCAACGAATGCATCAGCGATAGCAGCAGCAACATGCAGGGTTGTGGTTGCATTCCTCTTCGCTGTAGTAACAATGGTGAACCTTGTGAAACTAGAATATGGTCTTGATTCATTGTTGACACATCACAACGTACGAAACAAAGCCTTGCCGACCACCTCCCACTCCCTGCAACCACTCCCTGTTCTCGCTCCATGCTTTCGGTTCCTGCTACAACTCCCTGCTCCCACTCCCTGCTGTGATCCTGTACTGAATGAGTGTCATGATTTTTGAGAAATTAGGGTGCAATGGAAACTTTGTGGTCATTTTCTCCAGAATATATGTTGTGGTATTTGTTCATGGATGCATGTCATCACTCTAATGTGCAACTCTGAAAAGAACTATGTTATGAAAATGAGCCATTGTTGTTTCACATCAGAAGTATATCACACACCACCACCTTGTAGCAAGTGACAAAATTAGAAGGAAGAAAGAGGGGTTGAACTAGCAAGAATGAGGATACAAATAGCAAACCCTAGAAGGGTTGTACTCGCTATAGAGCACCCCACTACAGGCTAGAACAATAAGATAATATTCTGACACACCCCCATAGCCAAAGTGGGGTGTAATCAGTAGAGCAGGCAAAGCAAAAACAAGCTCAGGGTGGATCACAATGTCACCACACATTCTGAGCACAAGTTCAAGAAGAAATAGTTTAGAGTTCACAATTATAAGCAAAGCTAGTGGTAGTCACAATGGGCAAGTGAGGAGGAGGAGGGAGAGTGAGGGGAGAGGAGACAGGAGGCGACGGCTGAAGCTGCAGACACACGGGCAACAGGAGGCAGACTGGCACAGCGGCTACCGGACAGCGCCCGGACTACAGGAGTAACAGGCCCCGCGGCTCAAATAGCGGCGGACGGGCAACGGACCCACGGGCGGCTGGCACAGCTGGCTACGACTGGGCTACCGGGACAGCGCCCCGGACTACAGGTGCTGCTGACGACAAACTGGCAACCTCCGCTCATCCTCCCGCACACAGTCCCACCCCCCCTGATACACACCCACTGCTACACCACTAGCTCTACTCCCACGCACCCCCCTAAAACCCTAAACCCCAGTCTCCCACACAACCACCCCCCTCAGCGACAGCTGCAGCAGTGGGAGACGAAGGAGGAGGAGGAGAAAGGGAGGAAGGCACACCGGCCACCCCCATACCCGCCACCCCACAGCTCGCGGCCCCCTCAGGTCGCCACGACGGACGACGGGAAATGGGGGAAGGGGAGAAAGGGGGGGGGGGGGGCCCACCACGGACCTGAGGGGAGGGCGGGGCCGCGACAAGGGGCGGGGCCGCGACGAGCGGGGCGGGGCCGCGACGGTCGGGGCGGGACCGCGACGTAGGGCGGGGCCGCGACGTAGGGTGGGGCCGCGTCAGGTCGGCGCCGGGGCCGCGACATAGGGCGGGGCCGCGAAGGTAGGGCGGGGCCGCAACGTAGGGCGGGGCCGCGACGCAGGGGCGGGGCCGCGACGGTCGGGGCGGGGCCGCGACGTAGGGCGGGGCCGCGAAGAGGGGCGGGGCCGAGCCGGGCAGGCGCACGGGCGGCGACGGGCCGGGGCAGGGCCGCGACGTAGAGCGGGGCCGCGTCGAGGGGCGGGGCCGCGACGGTCGGGGCGGGGCCGCGATGTAGAGCGGGGCCGCGTCGAGGGGCGGGGCCGCGACGGTCGGGGCGGGGCCGCGGCGTAGGGGAGAAGCCCGCCGCGCGCCTCGGGGCGCACAGCGGGCAAAGAACCGCCGCGCGCCTCGGGGCGCACGGCGGGCAGAAAACCGCCGCGCGCCTCGGGGCGCACGGCGGGAGGATGTAGCAGCGGAAGCTAAGCGGTGGTAAGCCCACCCACAGGATCGATCCAAGAGGATCGACCTGCTCTGATAGCATGACAAAATTAGAAGGAAGAAAGAGGGGTTGAACTAGCAAGAATGAGGATACAAATAGCAAACCCTAGAAGGGTTGTACTCGCTATAGAGCACCCCACTACAGGCTAGAACAATAAGATAATATTCTGACAGCAAGCACACCACCCTATCCTTACCCACAACTACGCATTCTTTATTCAGCAGGGGGATCACACCTTTGCATTTTTGTTGCTAAGTTGTTTGTATTCTCTAAAGGTGCTAATTTCCTCTATTTCCTGCATGTTTTTACTTACCCGTATATCACGTACCTCAATACAAGGACCGCTAGAGAGAGAGAGGGAGAGGGGGAGAGAGAGAGAGAGAGAGAGAGAGAGAGAGAGAGAGCGAGAGCGAGAGAGAAAGAGAGAAAGAGGGAGGGAGAGAGAGAAAGAGAGAGGAGGGAGGGAAGGAGAGATGGACGGCAAGATGAGAAGGATGACAAGGAGGAGGAAGAGGAGGAGGGGAAGGAGAAGGGGAAGGAGAAGGGGAAGGAGAAGGGGAAGGAGAAGGGGAAGGAGAAGGGGAAGGAGAAGGGGAAGGAGAAGGGGAAGGAGAAGGGGTAAGAGAAGGGGGAGGCGAAAGGGAAGGGGAAGGAGAAGGGGAAGGAGAAGGGGAAGGAGAAGAGGAAGGAGAAGGCATGGAATTTGAATACCAAACGGTCAATAAACTACAAAAGGAAGGAGAAGGGGAAGGAGAAGGGGAAGGAGAATGCATTGAATCTGAATAACAAACGGTCACTAAACTACAAAGGGAAGGAGAAGGGGAAGGAGAAGGGGAAGGAGAAGGGGAAGGAGAAGGGGAAGGAGAAGGGGAAGGAGTAGGGGAAGGAGGAGGTGTAAGAGAAGGGGAAGGAGAAAGGGAAGGAGAAGAAAAAGGGGAAGGAGAAGAGGGAGAAGACATGGAATTTGAATAACCAACGTTCTCTAAAGTACAAAGGGAAGGAGAAGGGGAAGGAGAAGGGGAAGGAGAAGGGGAAGGAGAAGGGGAAGGAGAAGGGGTAAGAGAAGGGGAAGGAGAAAGGGAAGGGGAAGGAGAAGGGGAAGGAGAAGGGGAAGGAGAAGAGGAAGGAGAAGGCATGGAATTTGAATACCAAACGGTCACTAAACTACAAAAGGAACGAGAAGGGGAAGGAGAAGGGGAAGGAGAAGGGGAAGGAGAATGCATGGAATCTGAATAACAAACGGTCACTGAACTACGAAGGGAAGGAGAAGGGGAAGGAGAAGGGGAAGGAGAAGGGGAAGGAGAAGGGGAAGGAGAAGGGGAAGGAGAAGGTGTAAGAAAAGGGGAAGGAGAAAGGGAAGGAGGAGAAAAGAGGAAGGAGAAGAGGAAGGAGAAGACATGGAATTTGAATAACCAACGTTCACTAAACTACAAAGGGAAGGAGAAGGGGAAGGAGAAGGGGAAGGAGAAGGCGAAGGAAAAGGGGAAGGAGAAGGGGAGGGAGAAGGGGTAAGAGAAGGGGAAGGAGAAAGGGAAGGGGAAGGAGAAGGGGAAGGAGAAAGGGAAGGAGAAGAGGAAGGAGAAGAGGAAGGGGAAGGAGAGAGAGAGAGGGAGAGAGGGAGAGAGAGAGAGAGAGAGAGAGAGAGAGAGAGAGAGAGAGAGAGAGAGAGAGAGAGAGAGAGAGAGAGGGAGAGAGAGAGGGAGGGAGGGACAGGGAGAGAGAGAGAGAGAGAGAGAGAGAGAGAGAGAGAGAGAGAGAGAGAGAGAGAGAGGGAGAGAGAGAGAGAGAGGGAGAGGTGAGAGAGAGAAAGAGAGTTATAGAGAGAGAGAGAGAGAGAGAGAGAGAGAGAGAGAGAGAGAGAGAGAGAGAGAGAGGGGAGGGGAAAGAGAGAGAGTGAGAGAATTGTTAAATGGAAGCCATTTATATCGCTCTCAGTACTTTAGTGCCCTTTTTCTTGATACCTGTAGCCCCATCTATGCGTTTATGTGGCGTTGTCTAGTTTTGAGATGAATCGCAATTGATTTGCATAGGTATTC